TTGAAAACTGCTAAAAGTGCGTAGATGTATGACAGACATAGTAATATGTTCAAACTCATTTACAAAATGCTGATAAGTCGCTCATCTTATTTTTGAGTGTTTCCAATTGTTCTCCGCCTATCATTGAGATGCTGCTCTGAAGCCTCAATGATCAAGAGACGGAAACGATTTGGACACTATCATTCGTCAACCTGTGAGGCTGAGCCTGGGAGGGACCAGGAACGTCGGGGAAAATAGAAATTGCTTACGTATACTGGAGCCTCTCTTCCTCCTCACGAAGTCCAGTCTCGTTTTCAAGAAAAAAGAAGAGGATATCAATGCTTGCCATAACAGTGTGGGTTGTTTATCACTTTTAAATCTTCGGCACCCTTCGAGAAGCCTCAAATTGCATCATAAAATGTATGGAGCAGACGAACCAGGAAGTGAAATTTGCGGAAGATCCTGCTGAAGAAAGAAAAAACTCAGGTGAAGAAAGAATGAATCAGAAACCAACAGCAGCAAATCGTTCTGACACGTGCGCCAATGCTTCTGGCATGGGTATGCATTCAGCACTTGTCATCCTTTTTGCCGTTACGCCATGCTTCGAACCGTGGTGACATTTCGAATTTAATTCGGACTGCACAACGAGCCAGTCGATGTACTAGTCAGCGTTTACGTCCTCAGACAGGTACTGTATCCTCGAGTCGATCCCGAAGGTATGGTTTGCATGGCGCACTTTTATTTTTATTTTTATTATATTGTCTTAGCTCAGAGATAATTGCCCAAAGTATGTTAGAACTACTGCTGGAGCAATGGGCTTCGTTGTTCAACCAAGGCTGTCTGCAAATTTTAGTGGAGTGAAATGCATGGCACATCTGAGCGAAAGGCCATGCGGATTCAGTAGCAATACGTGAATCTTTCCTCCTCATGATCGCTTATGGCCCTTCTTTCCATAAATGGTGCGACAGCGACGATTTTTGTCTGCCCCTGAACAAACTAAACCCTCGCTCACGTCCTCGCTATAATTTTTGGTATCAATGCGGCAGGATGGCACTACACCTCCGCATAGTCATGATTCACGGAGAGAAATCACAGATCAGTGTCAAACGGGCAGCATATAAGGTGTGACATTCAGAGAATTCCACGCTGGTCGAGCTTCCACATCATTTCCTAGTTCGCACTCATTTCATTGAGGCTGTCCATAAGTGTTAAAATTTGCACTGAAACCACATTTTAGCACCTTCCCTCAAAGTCCCAATTCTTACGCTTCTACAGTTGGTATTTCTCAGCATGAACACATTTATCATCGTTTTTGCCATTGCCGGCGTGGCACTTTGCCATCCAGGCGCTAAGGGCGGTCCTGGTGGCGAAGGTGGTCCCACTGATGTGGCCGGCCGTGGACGTCACCACGGGCCACCACCACCGCCGTTCCTCAAGAATGTCACTGAGGAAGCACGGAAGGAGTTCTTTGCGATTGTGTTCAATAAAGATGAAAAGATTGCCGACCAGAAAAAGAACGTCCTAACCTGGGCGAAGAAGTACGGAGTTGAGGTATGTGGCAGATCTTTTTAGGTTTTACTCAAGCTTTAATTGATATCCGACCTATGAACAGAGCCCGCACGAAAAGTCCCGCTCATTTTTTTCGAAGGCTCAGGTTCAAGAGTTCAACACCAACATGACCAATATCGCGAATGAGGTCAGAAAGAATGTAACAGAGCTTATAAATGCCCTGCCCGCGGCAGTGGAGCAGAAGGACCATTGTCAAGGACGAAGACAACCCTGCGAAAGAAATGGTCGATGCCATCAAGGCTCTCTCTGCGGGAAATCCTAAGGTTAGATTTTGCCCTTTTTTTCGAATGGGAAAAAAGAGCTGAGATACAGAAAAGACATTCAAATATTGACATTCAGGTCTACCGTGTCCTCATGTTCGTTCTTCGTGAGTTCAAACCAAAACGTGGTGGCCCACGTGGACAAAAAGGAGGCCCAAGGGGCCCGAAAGGAGGTGATTGCTATGAAGGACCACCGATTACGCAGAAGAGGAGTTTGGCGGCTTCCCAGGTTTGTTACTGCTATCCTGTGTATCCTCATTATAATCGTTGCCTAACACTGTGTTGAAGGAATCGGTAACGGAGTTGGCTTTCCTGGCAAAGGAAAATTCTGAGATCGACGCCCATCAACGCAAGACGTCTCAGCGATGATCCTCAAGTCCGATTTGCTCCAATCACCTCGCTACCTCTGTGTTCTGTTGTTTTTCAAGTAATGAAGGCTTTAAAAACTTAACAGTTCTTTTGGAAAGCAGGGAAAAAGAGTGCCTCTACAAAGCTGTGTGACTGAGAAAAGAGCCCAAGAATTACGGAACTCCGCAGCTGAGCATACTCGGAAATCTTTATGATTATCACTAACATTTGAGGGCGCAGATGGGGTGCTCGCACCCCAACTGGTAGTTCACGCTGTGCAAAGTCCAAATTTCAATTTTATCAATCATCGACAAGTTTCTTTCAACCAATTCTGAATGAACTGATTCAGTTGTGAAGTTCATTGTCTATATACCAATACCAAAATCATGCTGGCTTCTTTTTTGGCAAAAAAGGCTTGTCCTATGGGTTATTGTGTAGCCGTGATTAGCTGCACCCTCTGAAAAGGGAACGGACAAAATGATGAATGGCCCAAATGAAAAGTTCAGGGGCCGAGGGCAGCAAGGTCCAACTTGGGGATGGGTCCCCAAAACTCTGCATCTCTGGATGCTCCCCTATTCTTGACCATGAGAACTGCGTCATCGACAAGCCAGAGAGACACAATTTTGGGGACCCAATCCCAGTTAGGCCTTGCTGCACCCAGCACCAGGTACAGGAAGCGCTTGGGAACACCCACCCCCATAGTTATGCTGAAAAAGGTGAGGATGGATCAAGTGGCAGACAACTGTTGACGCAATTGTTGCACAGCGAGAGAAATTTTTAAAGTGGAGGTAAGAATCAGTAGACTATAGAAAGAGGAGAAAGCCGAGCCTTCTCCAGGAAGATATTCAGGAGTCGCTGTGAGTCATGCTGGGAGCTATCGAAAAAGATTACGCGGGGCGTTGTGCATTTTTGACAGCGTGAACCCTCCTTTTCTTGGATTCCTGGACACTTCAGGTGGAAGGGAACTCCACATGTTCCCCTCGGAATTTTCTGGGTTTAAAACTAGTCCTAAAACATTTAGTCGTAAATTGCGATGGCTGCTCATACTGAAATATGATTTCGAATCTTCTTAGATTTTCGTTGACACCTGGGAAAAATTAAGTCGCTCTCACGGTGACGTGCATCCATAGCATTCCTCTGGCCATTCCGAAAAGATTATTTCTAATCGGCACTTTGATTTGCTTGTGCCCTTCTCTTCCATGGGAATGTTAGAAATAATTCCAATGTTGTGCGTGAAATCGCAGTTTTCAAAGGCTATTTGAATTTCTAAAACACTTAGTATTGCTTTTTGACTGTTATTGTTGCCTATTGCGGAATTATAGCCATCGCTCAGTTGCGGTTATAATCCCTTGCGATAAAGCACTAATGGTCTAGTACGGTAGTGGCGTTATAAAAGGAGACAACTGTTTCAGATAAGAACAGATCTCTCATTGCTTAAAAGCGGAAGGTGCAATATATTAAGTTTAAAAGACTTTCCACTCAAGTACTTTCTCTTCAGCGAAATATAATTTTTGAGGCTCCAAATTAGATGTGGAGCAGTTTCAGAATGTTTACCGTAATAGTTCTTCCTGTCTTCATATTTGTACTGCTGCATGCACCACAGGCACGTGATGGCTCAAGGCATTTGTGGTCCCGGTGATCTTTGGAGCAAAGTCAGCAGCAACTCTTATGCTGCCCTAGACAGATAGAAGGTTACTTGCGGACACAATAATCAGAGAGATGCGACCATAGCAGATTTTGTGTAGTGGATCTATGAAAATATTCAGGTAGACCGAGGATGGGCATGGGAGGGCGGCGGGAGGACCAGGTGAATGGGCATGGGGGCCCCACAGCGGACAGCGGAATGGCATGGGAGTGTCAGACCAGGCGGACCGGCGGAATGGCATTTGGAGGACGGACAGGCATGCGCAGGACAGGCATGGAGGCGACGGAATGCAGGCGACCAGGGCATGCGCAGGCGGATCCAGGCCATGGCAGGAGGCACAGGCATGGCAATGCGGGCCAGCATGGCAGGAGGACCAGGCATGGCAGGAGGACCAGGCATGCAGGCGGACCAGGCATGGCAGGCGGACCAGGCATGGCAGGAGGACCAGGCATGCCAGGCGGACCAGGCATGCCATTCGGACCAGGCATGCCTGGTGGACCAGTCAGACGAGGCGGAATAGTCGGAGGATTCATGAAAGGTTTATTCGGCTTACTCGGCAATATGCTCGGCAATCTCTGATTCTGTCGAGATATGTTGTAGCTTGTAGGATCATTCAGTTTTTAGAAGTGTGTAACAATTTCCAAGTTTAATCCACTATTTTTCTAATAATCAAGGTATTGGCTGTTTGACCATGAGTGAGCCCGATAAGAAGCAGTTTTTGATGTTGGCATTTGTAATTTCATTGCATTTGTGCCCCATTTGTCAACAGTGACGAATAGAACAGTGGAGTTGAAGAGATGAATACTTAGACAGAGACTATAGAGATATTTGGCTTTTAGTCGAATCGCAGAACAAGTTGAAAAACAGACTTACTTGTATCAGTGATTTTACCAACGCCTAATCCATTTACACCATTTTTTCCTAATATCAGGCAACAGACTAGTAAGTAGGGCTGACACAGAAAGTAAAGCAACAACGGCTCAAATTGCCGACGGCATTATAATTCAATTTTTTTCTCTAAGTACGGTAAACTAAAATTTGATGTGAACTGAGACAGTATTTAGTTAGTATATATGGTTATTTGAAGAAGAAAATACTTCAAAAAAGGTCCTATCTTCCTTATCCTCTGAAGGCCGTATCGCGACTGCTTAGTGAAAACCGAAAAAGAAACTGAGAAAGACAGAAAACCAAAACACCCTGAAATTCTTCTTGTACAATGAACACTTGAATAAAAGTTCTCCCAAAGGTGAAGCAATTTGTGGATTTCAAGGGAATCATAATTACTTGTAGATCATGAGCTACGATGAAGGATCGTTCAATGGTATGCCCTATACCATCGAAGTAAGCAAACCAGCCCTTTTGGCGTTTCTGCTGGGGCCGTATGCTGAATGTTGGGGAGGGGATGGGGTCCCCGACGGTCGACGGACTACTTCAACTCGGTCGGTACGGTAGGAGAGTGATGACGAAGTGGTGCAGCTAGGTCCAGCAGCTCCGCCAAAAGGGCTGGTTTGCTTACCCAGGACTAAGCCTTGGAGAGAGGACGGAGCTGCGCAGGTCCTCTG